AATAAATAATAGAGAAGTAAGAGCGAGTTGAGAATGGGGTAAAAAAGACGCTACCTATGGTGGCCGCGCCCTCCGACAGTAGGCCATGCTTGGCCACGGCCCGGACCCGGGACCAATACTTGACCGAGTACGGCCCCAGGCTCTTCAAGAACTCGCCGCCCTGGACAGCATCTTCCGTAAAGACGGCACGCCGAGAGCAAGGCTTGAAGAGAGTTGCCGGCCACAGGGTCGGAAAAGAGAAGGAAGAAGAACGGGGTCGGACGAAAAAATAAAGAGGTTTCCACTCTTTGATTGAGTCGGACAACCCCTCGAAAAGTTGCCGCCCCGGACGGGCGGCGACTTGAACAAAGCCCGGCGAGTGAGAGCCGACTTTGTTCACGGTAAAAAGGAACCGGAACAAGTCTAGATCCGGCTCGCACTGCCACCAATGGCAGAGGTTAATGAATCTGGTAAGAAGGCGGTGCGAATTGGGCACTAACTGGCCTGGGACCAGGTTATAGTGCCGGAAAAGAAGTGAAAGAAAGGGATGAGGAGGCACTCGGAAGCCGAATGCGACCGAATGCAGGTGAATGCCCACAAAACCCTCCGGCGGGTTATGGATGGGCCGACCCTCCGTCGCGACAACCAGGGCCGAAGGGCCAAGCAAAAAACGGGCCATATCAAGGTCCGCGGCCGTGGCATTCGACGGGAGACCGGACGGCCTGACTATCGAGTCGAATTTACCTCGCGGCCGTTCGACGCCGTCCGGCAGAGCCGCCACCGTGGTTAGCGGAGCTGGGCTCATCGGAGTGGCCGCCCCAGAAGAAGAAGGGGTTAAGAAAGAAGAAGAAGACACCGCCTGGAAGCCTGCCGGCATTTCCAGACGGCGGATAACAGAGGAAGAAGAAGAGGACGACGGCGAGGTCCCCGCCGGATTGTCAAAAGACTGCCGGCGAGTGGAAGAAGAATCAGAGGAGGAAGACATTACTTACAGATCTGAGTTGAGGCTGGGAAGACGATGAAAGAGCAAAGAAGCTTGAGGGGAAACTTGAAGAAGAAGAGTAGAGGAGAAGAGCCATTTAAAGGAAAGGGGAAGCCCGGGAAGCCGCCACGTGCCACCTTCTCATTGGAGGAAGTGGAGGTGACGGGATGTGAAGGGACGCCGCATTTAATGCCTCAAAAGGCGGGGCGACGGTTCAGGCCTAGGGTTAGCCTATAGACGGCGTCTGCCCTAAGCTAAGGTCGAACGTCAGTGACCCGGCCTGCTAAGCCGGAAGCCCGTAGTGGGCCATGGCCTCTGGGCCCACGAGTTGCAAGCTGGAAGCTTCTAGAACAACCCGGTCGAACCCGGCTCACCGAAGGATATCAACCGAATTTACGGAGAGGCTCCGGTCGTCAGGTCGACCAGTAGACTCGGCGACTCCCGCACCAGGAGGGTTTCGGCATAACGAGTCTAGGAATCGGTCCCACAGACCAGAGGTCGGGCAATCGGATAATAAGAAAATCCGGTGTCGGACAGGAAAAACACACAGTTTATTCAATTGGTACAAAGATTACAAGGCCCAGAACTCGGCCGATGCAAATTACAAGAGGAAAGGGGGTCAAGGCTTGGCTTCTTTCTCTGTCGACGGGCGAACAGTCGGAGGGCCCTCTAGGAAGTACTGAGGGCGGAATGGTAAAGGACTCGGCTCTGGCTCCGGCACCTCATCCAGATACACGGCCGGTTTCCCATCGTCAATCATTTGCAGAGGCCTCTCCAAAGCACTTGGCGACATGGCGATGCCGAAAAGCGGAGGAACCTCCCACACCTCTTCCTCCTCTGGTCCGGGATCTTTAACCGCAGGCTCCATCTCCGCGCTGACTGGCTCCGCAGACATCAGGTCCAGCATGTCCGGAGGCACGATTATTGGGTCAGAGGCTGAGTCGCCCACCAGGTGACCTCCATTGGCCCGCCGCTTCCGCTCCAACTTTTCCAGCCGAGCGTGCTCTTGGTTGCGGATGGACCAGCGGCGACCTCCTTCCTTGAAGCTCATAGTTATACGATTAAGAAAATGAAAGGAATTGCGATTCGCACAAACCATGGGGAGGCCTTATATAGCCCAAAGGGAACGGTTACCCAGGCGCTAATCACGGAAGAAATCGTAACTGACATTGCTAAAGCCGGATGGGACGGAAGGTGCGAATCTCTGTCAGAGGTTAGTTCCATCGAATCCGCTCGAGAAGCGGTAGATTCGCACGCCATGCAGAAAAGATTAGGTTCACCCGGGATCCGGGGAATCTCGCAGATGTCAGACTGGAAAAGTCTGACAGCGCGACCGACTCCTTGACCAGTCATCAGGAGAGATACACGACAAGACACAAGGCAAGGAGAAAATAGCGTCTCTTATTATTATTATTATAAAGGAGGAGGATACAAATGGCGAGGAGCTTATTACAATAGGGAATATGAAAATGCTCCTAAAAGGGATTCCTCCGAACTACGGCCGACTCGGGCACATGCGATCACTCGCCAGGTGAGGAGGAGTCGCCCCCAAAGAACTCCCCCGATAGTCCAGGTGGAGATGGGCAGAACGAGTCCCAGAAAGCTGGCATAAGTGGTGGCGCAATTGGCTCCCCGTCATCCGGATACACCTCCAGGTAGTGGGCGTAATCTTCATCATTCATTAGGCCCGTAACGGGTTCGTCCGGGCCGTCCAGAGGGATGGAGAAGGTCATTCTAAAGGTAAGTTGCTCCGGAACCGCCACCTCAACGAAGGACCCGTCTTGAGAAGTCACCCGAGCAGTGGTAGGAGTAACCGGATGGTGTGGAGATGGAGCGACCTCACGACGAGGAGGAGTCGGAGGTTGGGAAGCTGAAGGAGTAGCGCCGGCAGGAGACCTCTGAGAAGCTGGGCGAGGGGTCTTCCTTTTGTGTCCTCTTTCAGGCCGAGTCCGCTTGGAAGGCAGCGGACGCCAAGGAGACCCGAAGTCGATTTGTTTCCCTTTCAGAGGGGAACGACCCATGTTGGACTTGTGAAGGAAAAAGAGAAGGGAGGATGCCATTTATAGGTACCTAGTGTGGACAGACGAATCCAAACGGTCCCGCAAGATCTGGAGGGAACGGCCGAGAATCCGGAGAGAATGACTGAGGATCCGGACGTTACCGAGGGCTATTTAAGGCACGGATACAGTGATTGAAAGAGATGGACCGTTGCTACTTTTTCAAACCCAGGCTAGAGTGCCGGGTACGAAAAAGTGAGGGACTAGTTGATGGGGTAAGGACCCCGGCCCAAGAAATAGGGGCCCAAAGGAAATAGTTCAAGACAGGGGAGGTGGGCCAGCCTCTGAGAAGCCCCAAAAGCAATTGGGCCGAGTCCTGGAGTCGGCCCAAGCCCAGGCACGGGGCCGGAGCTGCTAAATAGAAGCCCAGTAGGAATTCAGGCCGAGACGAGGAGTCGACCGAGGCCCAGGACCCGGAGAAGATTCGGATCAAGGAGCCGTTGAGGGCATTGAAGAGGCTCGTTTAAAAGGGAGCCGTTAGGGCATTAAGAGCAGGACCCGGTCAGGCTGTTACAGACCGGGAAGAGCCGTTGGCCGACCGAGTAACGGCGCCCAACGGCCCCATCTCTTGATTAGTCTTAAAGTCGGCCATTATGAGCCTTTAAGTCGGTACAAGGGAAGCCCCTATAAAAGGGCTCCTCCACCATTGTAATAAGGATCGGAAAAAAAAAAGAGAGAACCCGGAGAGGGAATACAGAGCATTTTTAGCATCACGTTTCACCGCAATTGGGCCTTCTATTGAAAGGTGTATCCTCCAGCTGAAAGGTTGTGTTGGACCTCCTTGGGCCCGAAAACCCTAAAACCATCAAAATATATATATATATATATATATATATATATATATATATATATATGCATCACGTTTCACCGCAATTGGGCCTTCTATTGAAAGGTGTATCCTCCAGCTGAAAGGTTGTGTTGGACCTCCTTGGGCCCGAAAACCCTAAAACCATCAATATATATATATATATATATATATATATATATATATATATATATATATATATATACACACACACATAAATTTCTGTAATAATATTAGAAAAATGAAAATATAGATCAAATTAAAAAGAGTTAATTCTATTTTTTTTTATAGATTTATAGATGACAGTTCACTTTTAGTTCATTTTTATTAAAACATCATCATTTGATCCTGCTATTATTGTGGCCGGCATGACTGTTTTTAGTTCTCTATCAACAAAATCGTTCAAATATCGTTAAATGCAAAGACATTTCAATCTTTTTATATATATATAAAGTAGGTTGAACCCCTATAATTTTTATGTATTTTTTTAAATCGATAATTAAAGACTGAAATGCTCTTATATTTAACGATATTTAAACTGTTTTGTTTTTGTTGATAAAGGACCGAAAATGGTTATGTCACAATAATACGGAAAATTATATCGTGCACCAGCAATGCATTGTGCACCCTAAGAGTTTATGTGTATTATGTTAAAAGTTTTGTGTATTATGTATTATATTAAGAGTTTAGGTGTATTCTACTATACAATTATGTACATACTAAACATAGGATTTTTAGGGCGCACAATACTAATAATACTAAGACCAAAAGTAGTAGATGTTATAATTAAAAAAAAAAATTAAAAATAGATTGTTACCTATAAATTTAGGACGAAAAATAAAATTAATTCAAATTAAAAATGATGTGAAAACTTAGTTAATAGGGGGCCGGGGGATTGAGACACTTGACTAAGTAATATGGGAGTAGATCAGAGGAGTGACATATATTAGTGATGCATCTTGGCAGGGCGGAAGGCATCCAACTCTTCACCTACTGACCATTCTTTACATCTTTCAAACCTCATCTCCACACGAAACTAACCATATCTCCCTCTACAAATCACAAAATCTACTTTAATTTGCAAGAAACAACTCCCACTCCCATCCCAAAAATATAATAATGTTAATCCATACTTAGCCTTCCCTAATCTCCATCTCCCCATTTCAATTCTCTCAGTTTTGCAGTGCAGTAGTACGTGTAGTACCGTTGCTGTGTTTAACGTTGGTGCCATGTCTCAAGCTTCTTCCAGAGATGATATGTCGACGGCGAGTAGTGATCTTCCGTTTCTGGGGCCTCGCCAGGCTATGGAGCTTCAAGAACTCACCCGGAGGCCGAGGCATAGCGTCTCCATGACGCTCGGTGAGCTTCTGCACCGCGTCGGAGACTCCGCCGGGGAAAAACTTAACAACGGCGTCGGCGGCGCCAATGATCATCGTGTTCTCCAACTCTATGATCCCGTGCCGTATCCTAGCTCGTTTCCGTTTGTTCTGTCGTTCCACAATCTGTCGTACAGCGTGAAGGTCCGGCGAAAGATGGGGGTTCCGGCGTGGCTGGGGAGGAGGACGGCGGCGCCGTCTCAGGTGGAGAATGACGTGAAGGTGTTGCTGGACGACATCTCCGGGGAAGCTAGGGAGGGGGAGATCATGGCGGTTTTAGGCGCCAGCGGCTCCGGGAAATCGACGCTGATCGACGCGCTGGCTAACAGAATTGCGCGGGAAAGCTTGGGAGGGACGGTGAAGATGAACGGAGAGGTTTTAGAATCCAAGCTGCTGAAAGTGATATCGGCGTATGTTATGCAAGACGATCTTCTGTTCCCGATGTTAACAGTGGAGGAGACGCTGATGTTCTCCGCCGAGTTCCGCCTCCCTCGCAGCCTCTCCCGTTCCCGGAAGAAGGCCCGAGTCCAAGCCCTAATCGAACAGCTCGGCCTCCAAACCGCCGCGAAAACCGTCATCGGCGACGAGGGCCACCGCGGCGTCTCCGGCGGGGAGCGCCGCCGCGTCTCCATCGGAATCGACATCATCCACGACCCTATCGTCCTCTTCCTCGACGAGCCAACCTCCGGCCTCGACTCCACCAGCGCATTCATGGTGGTCAAAGTTCTCCAGAGAATCGCGCAGAGCGGCAGCATTGTAATCATGTCCGTCCATCAGCCCAGCTACAGAATCCTCAACCTTCTCGACCGTCTGATCTTCCTCTCCAAAGGCCAAACGGTTTTCAGCGGCTCCCCTTCCAGTCTCCCCAGATTCTTCCAGGAATTCGGGAATCCAATCCCGGAGAACGAAAACCGCTGCGAATTCGCCCTGGATTTCATCCGAGAACTCGAGCAATCCCCGGAAGGAACTAAGAATCTAGTGGATTTCAACAAATCCTGGCAGAGAAAATTCTCCCCTTCCTCAACCTCCAACCGTAACAATGTCTTCCCAAATCCAAAACCCTCCCTCAAGGACGCCATTAGCGCGAGCATTTCGAGGGGGAAATTAGTGTCCGGAGCTACAAACATAAACTCAACTCTTTCACCTTCCGTCCCCAAATTCGCCAACCCGTTCTGGGTGGAAATGGTGGTGATTGGGAAAAGATCCATGGTGAATTCCCTGAGAATGCCGGAGCTATTCGCGATGCGATTCGGAGCAGTTGTTGTAACAGGAATCATTCTCGCGACGATCTTCTGGAAATTGGACGATTCTCCGAAAGGAATTCAGGAGCGATTAGGGTTCTTCGCCTTCGCCATGTCCACAACCTTCTACACCTGCGCAGAAGCCATCCCTGTTTTCCTGCAAGAGCGATACATTTTCATGAGGGAAACAGCTTACAACGCCTACCGTCGTTCCTCCTATGTTCTCTCCCACTCCATTATCTCCCTCCCATCGTTAGCGTTCCTCTCCCTCGCCTTCGCCGTCACCACATACTGGGCGGTAGGGCTCGCCGGCGGTTTCTCCGGCTTCCTCTTCTTCCTCCTCTTCGTCTTCGCCTCTTTCTGGGCGGGTTCCTCCTTCGTCACATTCCTCTCCGGGATCATCTACAATGTCATGATCGCCTACACGCTCGTCGTCGCCATTCTCGCCTACTTCGTCCTCTTCAGCGGCTTCTTCATCAACAGGGATCGAATCCCGCCCTACTGGATCTGGTTCCACTATGCTTCTCTGGTGAAATATCCTTTCCAGGGAGTTCTGCAGAACGAGTTCGACTATCCAGACAAGTGTTTCGTGAAGGGGATCCAGATTTTCGACGGGTCGCCATTGAAGGCCGTCCCTGAAGCTATGAAACTTAAGCTGCTGCAGAACATGAGCAAGACGCTGGGAATCAACATCACGAGCTCGACTTGCTTGACCACAGGGCCTGATATCTTGAAGCAGACTGGCGTTACTGATATAAACAAATGGAATTGCCTTTGGATCACCATTGCCCTAGGGTTCTTCTTCAGGTTGCTGTTCTATTTTGCTTTGTTGATTGGGAGCAAGAACAAGAGGAGGTGAATTGAATTGAATTGAAGCGTGTCATCAATGGCAGAAATCTCATCTAATCAAACATTTCTTGGAACAAAAATTTGGGAATTATATATATTTTCTGCTTCTTTTTTCAAACTTCATTTCCCTTCTTCTTCTTCATCTTCTTCTTCTTGTGTTTGTTTGGAGATGGTTGTATGGTAGTTCAATTCATGGGGTTTCTAAACATAGTTACAAAGTAGATGTACCAATTATTGGTAAAACAGCTTAAGATGTAGTCCTAATAACAGTAATTATTTTCAGGTAATGCAAATTTGTTTGGTTTTATTCTCACTTGATAATTTAGTAATTTAAATATAGAATTTGGTTTGAACAACTCGAGACTTTTAGTTAAGTTGAAAGAGACTCACGTCATCTCATCCACACTTACAAGGGTTAGCAGTGTCTCAAATTGAAAACTCAAAAAGTTAGTGGTGTTTCCAACCTAAAAAAACTTGTCCATTTTTATAATTTTGCCTTAGTATAATTTATGGACTTCATCTATTTGTTTGAGATTTTTCTGAGGTGCCAATTGACATTGACGTCGATAGTATGCGGCATAACAATGTATGTTATACGTAGTATCTAAGTGTACATATGTTATTGGCACCTACCAATATTCAGTATAACAAAAAAGTAATCCGTAACATATTTTATTATATCATGTATTAGCGATATTGGTGTTGATAGATACTGTAAAAATTTCATAATTTTAGAGTAGACTTACTATAATAAAAGAGTTAATACCCAAAATCGTCCTCGACTATAGTGGTTTTTCTCAATTTCGTCCTAAACGACTTTGGTGACCTAATATCGTCCCAGACTTTTGTGTTTCGCTCAATTTAGTCCCAGACTTTTGTGTTTTTGCTCAATTTAGTCCCTCATTTGTTATTCTGTCCATTTGGTGTTAAATAAATAGACAATTCAGTAATTTTAATATTGGCATATCTTTACTCATAGACATGTGAACTGCGAAATTTTTTTTTTTAACGAATTACTTCCAAAATTACTCCTAAAACTGCGAATATAAAATTTAATTTGCAGGTCCGGGAGTAATTCTGGGTGTAATTCGTACAAGAAAGAGGAATTTCGCACTTCACAAGTTGAAAGTAAAGAGATATCAATATTGACATTACTGAATTGTCTCTTTATTTAACACCAATTTGACTGAATAACAAATGGAGGACTAAATTGAGCGAAACACAAAAGTCTGAGACGATATTAGGTCACCAAAGTCGTTTAGGACGAAATTGAGAAAAATCACTATAGTCGAGGACGATTTTGCGTATTAACTCTATAATAAAAATAGTGACTATAACCTCTGGCATATACCATAAATATATCATTGTTCGTGTTTACAAACATTAACACAATTCACTATTTATCAAACAAAACCTTAATTGTTTGACCAATTAGTTATTTACCGAATAAACCATTATTTGTATACATATACTCCATTATAAATTATTCTAGTTTCATTGACAAGTTTAATTAATGCAAAAAAAAAAAAAAAAAAAAAACTGTGTATTCGTTGGGCATAACATTTTTTTTTTAACAAAAACCATAACCAGATTTCATTAATAGATACCAGGATTGTTACATAGAGAAATGGATACAAAACGAGGAATATAGTCAAAATACTCCACACAACCCTCTTCTACACAATAAAGAGCTCTCTTGGCTAAACAATGAGACACCATAACATGAGATCACATTTTCATTGAAGTGTTAAGACTTTATAAACATGTCGATAGAACATGACATCTTTGGATAACATTTCTAAGACTCTTTGTTAAACAAAATATGTACAAATTTATCAAATATTTGAATGATAATAATTTTTTTTTGATAATAATTAATTAAACTAAAAACTACTAAATTTTGAGTTGTTATACCATGGACTAGGGTCCACCTTGCAAGGTGGACCATGGTCCTAAACGACGTATAAATGTTACTATAATTTTAGTATTGAAATTGTGAACTTCTAGAATATAAGTTGTGTTTCTAAGTCAAAACACATAACAATTGTAGAAGAAAATTTGTGAATACAATACAGGGTGATCAAATCCTAATCTATTAATATTGTGTGACTGTGGTATTCGAAAGGAACTTGTGAATACAAAACAAGGTAATCAAGTTAGTAATATACAAATTGGAAATTTGTAAAAGATAAATTGTAAACATTTGGATCGCAAATTATGCCATGGAATCGTGTTCACCGAGAATGGTGAACACAAGGCAAAACGACGTCGTTTTTAGGCAAAAAAAAATAATAATAAAAAATAAATAAAAAAATCGCGGATATGGAGTTAACGGTGCGCGTTTGATCAAATTATGAATTTTCTGTTATGAGATTATGAATTTTCATAAAATTCATAATCTCATAACAGAAAATTCATAATCGCATAACAGAAAATTCATAATCGCATAACAGAAAATTCATAATCTCACAACAGAAAATTCATAATCTCATAACAGAAAATTCATAATCTTATAACAGAAAATCATAATCTCATGGTTCCAAAGTGAATGTATAGGCATGGTTCCAAAGTGAATGTGCAGGCATGGATTCATAATTTATGAATGTCCGTGATTTCGGACAGGAATATGTAGGCATGGTTCCAAAGTGAATGTGCAGGCATGAATTCATAATTTATGAATGTCCGAAATTATGAATGTAATGAAAATTCATAATCTCATAACAGAAAATTTATAATCGCATAACAGAAAATTCATAATCTCATAACAGAAAATTCATAATTTCATAACAGAAAATTCATAATCTTATAACAGAAAATTCATAATCTCATGGTTCCAAAGTGAATGTGTAGGCATGGTTCTAAAGTGAATGACATGGATTCATAATTTATGAATGTCCGTGATTTCGGACGGGAATGTGTAGGCATAGTTCCAAAGTGAATGTGCAGGCATGAATTCATAATTTATGAATGTCCGGAATCTTTGTTCACCTCAAATTAAAGTGAAACCGCAAAATGTGAAAATAAAGAAGAAAAGTCACGCAATTAATTAATTAAAAAAAAAAAGATAACGGTGTACTAACACCGTTGGAACATGGTGAACACGGTTTCATGGCATAACGTCCCAATTGTGAACATTTGGACCTGGTTCCACCTGGAATAATTTGGGCAAATTATGCTGTGCATCCGTATGCACCATGCATGGTGCATACGGATGCAAAAACGACGTCGTTTTAATAAAACGCGCGTCTCCCCTTAAAAAAAAAAAAATCAGGTTCGATTCCCAGCAACAACAGATGAACTATATTTCCATAATCGATGAACTATATTTCCATAATCGATGAACTATATTTCCATAATCTAATCTATGAACTAAAAATTCCAGAATGAATGAACTAAAATTCCATAATCTATAAACTAAAATTTCAGAATCGATGAACTACAATTCCATAATCGATGAACTATAATTCCATAATCAATGAACTATAATTCCATAATCTATGAACTAAAATTCCAGAATGAATGAACAATATAATGTTGTTGCTGGGAATCGAACCTGAATTTTTTTTAAAAGGGAGACGCGCGTTTTTTAATAAAACGACGTCGTTTTGGCATCCGTATGCACCATGCATGGTGCATACGGATGCACAGCATAACGATTGAATAATTTGCAGTAAAACACACAGTCATCATAATGGGCCTATGGCAATTGAGGCCCAACAGCATTTTAGCCCATCTAGATGGCCCAAACATTCCGAGGCGCGAAAGCAAAGTCCGCGCCCGAAACATCCCAATCCAATCCAATCCACCTTCGTCAGTATTTCAAATGTCGTTCTTGTTAGCAGCGGTGGCTCCGCCGTGTTTCGCCGTAATTCAGTCCGCAGCGAGCCAGCCACGGCGGGGACGGAACTCGAAGAACGGTCAAAAGAGCAAACAGAACTTAAAAACGACCAAGGCTTCGACCGCCGCCACCTCAACGACAAAAAATCCATCTGGCTTTGACGGAAAGGGGAAAAATCCTCTGTGGCAATGCGTACAGAATTGTGGAGCGTGCTGTAAACTTGATAAAGGCCCCGACTTTCCTTCCCCTGAAGAAGTTTTCGATGACCCTTCCGACATTCAGGTCTCTTTTTTATCCCTATATTGAGTATATTCTCTCTAAGTGTCTTGTGCACCTCTTGGGATTGTTTCTGATACCAAATTGTGTTAATCTTAACTAAAACCTAAAGTAAAAGGTCTAAATTGATAGTTGGATTGGATATTTATGTTTATATATATTATATATGCATAGCCTTATTCTATTTATAAAGTTTTTCAAACCGGGTTTAACTTAAACTGTCGAATCTCGAAGCTATATTGACTCGATTGCCTCGATATATATACACATATGTTTGGGGCATAGTCATGGATTTAGGATATAGTATGGTGAAGTCGGAAGAAATAGACATTTGTATGTATCTGTATGTATGTATATGCAATGCAATGAAAATGAATTTTGGTGATTTCAGTTGTACAAGAGCTTGGTGGGTTCAGATGGTTGGTGCATACACTATGAGAAGAGCACAAGAAAGTGTTCTATATATGCTGGTGAGTGTTTTTGCTTACAGTTTGAATTCCATTTTCCCATTTTGTTATGTGTTGAGATTTTGTTGTTGTAGAGCGACCGTATTTTTGTCGAGTAGAGCCAGAAATTTTTGAGACACTCTATGGAATTGAGAAGAAAAAGTTCAACAAGGAAGCTTGCAGGTCTTGCATAAACACTACATTCTTTTCTGCTATAGTATAAACATTTTTGAAGTTTTTTTACATGTGGAATACCATTGTTAGTACTAGATAAGGCTTGGGTTTTTGTTAACTGGACAGTGTTTTATTGCAGCTGCTGCATAGACACTATCAAAGCAGTGTATGGATCAAGTTCAACAGAACTGGATACTTTCAATCAAGCAATATGGAACACGACAGTATAGCGAAATTTGAGTTTTGTTAGGACAAAAAGAACTTATTTGTGTGAATATAATCAGCATTGTATGTTTCTCTGTACACAACAATAGTTCTATAGTGCTACACATGTAGAGCCTTGCATCACTAACTTTAGCAATACAGATGAAAATGATCATTTGCATATGAGATATATACCCTACCATCACTCCAAAATAATGATGATGATGATTATGATAGAAGTGTACCAGTATCTATATCACATGGGTGAGAGGACCAATGCCTAATTCATCATGAATGTCATCCCCCTCTTCAAATAGTCTCAGGAACCGTGCTTGCTCTTGCTGTCTTCTCCTTTTTTGCCAATACTTGTATGCAGTTAGCCCTCCAACAATCAAAACAGCTGAGACCAAAGCTGATATTAGCAGTACTAGAGTCCAGTTCATTCCCTTTTTCTCATTTCCGTAATCAGAGTGAATCGGTGCTACAAAAATACAAGACAGAAAGGTGAGGATAGGCTGAGAGAAGGAGCACACAGATTCTTATAGGCATAAGATTAAGGTTTCAATCAGGCAAAATGTTTATGCTAACCAAAAAGCAGTATTAGCAGAGAGAGGAGAAACACTCACCACCTACAAGAGGGACACACTCTAGACACAAAAATGTTGCATTGAACTCCTTCTCCTTGAAATGGGTGTATTTGCCATCAGCACTTGTAAATTCGGAAACACAAAATTCCCACTCATCAAATGTATCGTCTAATTTTATCGTGTCCGCCTCATAAAACCCACATCGTTTGCATTTCTTATTTAAAAGTTCTGTCAGAGGCTGAAACATAAACCCAATTCCAATACTATTATTATTCCAGAAGGATACTATATAATTATGATGGGAAAACATACACACACAATATAAATATATATGTATGTATGCATGCATGTAGGTTTACAAAATATGAAACTTCAATGAGAAACCAAGCCTGTAATAATATATATATATATATATATATATATATATATATATATATATATATATATATATATATATATTCAGGTTTGGATGGATGGATGAATTGGGAATCAACTTTCTTGCCCATTCCATGTGCAAAACAATTGCATCTATACATTGTCATGAAAGTAATTCAGCTTCATAGTAGTAACCTAGAGACAATGTAGAATAACCAATTTCTGGAAGTGAAAAGACACTTGAACATAGCTGTCATCCAGGGACAGAAGTAGTGAACCAACAGCATCAGCTAATATTGGATTGCTTTTTAGCACTCAAGGCTTGTGTCACTCAGCAGGGGTTTAAAGGGTGCTCAATTCACATATGGCTTTAATATGCCTCCAGGAGAAAGAACCAAAGAATGAGTCATAGAACCTCAGCTTTAGTGGTCTAACAATTACCCTTTAGCACTAGCATATGTAATGTTCAGTCAAATTAGAAAATGTGTAGTTCAACAATTGGTTAACAGTTCACTGATCCTACCTTCTTCTTCTTCTTCCTCCTCTTCTTTTTTTTTTTTTTTTTGGTTATTGGTGGTTTGCAGAAAAAAATCACCTTCAAACTGGATTTAGCCTGAGTGCAACTACACTACTAACAACACTAGTAAATAATGTAACAAAAACTAAAAACAATATGAGAAATGAAAAGACGTTTCCCCTATTTCCAAATATGACTAAAACTTAAGGTCTTCATGAACAACCAGATTAATTCCAGCCCACCTCCATCTATACCTCCCTGCTCCCCATCCCCAAAACAAGGCATATGTAAATTCAATCTGCCACACAAAAATGAAATCAAAGCAAGGCAGTCACAGATGATAGGTAATATCGTCTTATACATTAGCAATGTAAAGAGAAATTAGGGGATTTAGTTTAGGCCTAGACAAAAAAATCTTAATAAAGCAGAATAGTACATAACTTCCTATGTGGCAGGCTTACATGCTACAACCTACAGTATATGACAAAAGTTACGTAGCCTACCTCTGAACTGAGGTTCACCTAGCAAAAAACTACAGCTCCCCTTTGCCTTTGAAGGTAGGAATGACTTGTCAAGGCTAGTTTAATAAATTTTATTAATACTAATTTATAATTACCTCAAGAAAAGGAAAACTAACTTGACTTCTTTTATGAAGTTTTATTAACATGGTTAATAACATTCTTTCCCTAGTGATGCAAAAGCATAACACCTCATTTCAAGTCACAATCTACTACTACAGACTACAGTAAGCTATGAGCTCGTTCACAGTCAGTAGAAAGAAAACTAATAATTATTATTATTATATAAACAATAACTCATCACGCACCTGCCAAGATTCTTCACCTGTGAAGTTATACAAATAGCCTTTTTGCTTCACATCAGGCAAAACTGTCATGTTTTCCTCATTACACCGAAAGTAAACAGTCGGTTTGAATCCGAACAACTCATGAGTCGCGAATATTTCAATTGAATCAAGCGTAACTACCGCTGATGTCATCAGTTCTGCGAAACATTTAAAAACAGAGTTCAATTAACCGAGGCTTCTCCTTTTACAGACGCAAAATTAATCAACCAATCGATAAACCGAGACTGAGATTCAGAAAATGAATCTGATCAGGAACAAAGTCAGGCAAATAATCGAAAAACATGTAATTTTAAATAAAATTACCTGGCATCCAGATAAGAAGAATCGAACTATACAAGAGGAAAATGATAGGAAGCCTGAATCGTATTCGACGGCGGATTGTCATGAACCTTTATTCTTTCCTTGTAGCTGTGGATGATCGAGCTAAATCGACCAGATGCGATTTAGGATGGGCGGATATAAGCACGTCCTCTGCTTGAACGGAGACGGCGGTGGTGAAGGACGTCGCGAAAGGTTGCGTTAAAGGACGGAGGAGAAGTTCGCGCGGTTGCTCGATGGTTCTTGGCGTCGGCCGTTTAACTATAATTTATCAATTTGCTTTATGAATATATCAGTTGCAACAAATTCCCTGCCCACTCCTTGGGTTTTCTTTTCTTTTTCATTTTTTTTGGGTCCCAATTTACATTAATAACTATAGTCTACGATTAAATTTGGAATTGTCAGGAAAGATAAATGACATCGGTGAAATTAACTCTTTATCAATTTAAATATTCTTAATATATTACAATAATTCCATTACATGCATCGCACGGGTGAAAATACTAGTTTACATTAAAAATTATTCCGTATTTTTTAATATTACTGGCCATATTACAAGGGAAAATCAACGATTTGGCCCCTCAATTATTAGCGAAATATCAATGTAGTCTCTTAATCGCGTAATAATCGATTTGGTCCCTCGAAATAACTATTTTTAGTTGATTTAGCCCCTCCGGCCGTAGTCCGTCAATAATCCGGCGATAGCTCCGATTTGTCCTGGACAATTTAGTCTTTTCACACCATCTCACCTCAAAAATATGGCATTCGAGTGTTATCATGGGCTTTGGAGCCTTCGTCCGGCCTCCCCGAGGTCATCGCCATCAACATCGCAGCGATCGGACGGCTTTGGAGCAATTTCGTGATCGCGGTCCAGATTCGTCTATGGCGACGCCGGCGGTAGCCCCTTTCAACCCCCTGGAGTTGTCGTAGAGCCTCAGCGGAGTGATCTTCATAGTCGATTTGAAGAACGACTACCGGTTGCGAAGTCGGGTGGTCCGAGTCGCCCTTCGTCTATGGAGGATTCTCCGGCAGTTGAGGTGTTGCATGGGCAATAGAAGGAGGGGGACAATCCGTGGGATATGTTACGATCACAATTCACCAACCAATTTGATGATTGCCGGCTTCTGGAGCTCCTGGGCAGTTACGAAATCGGTTAAGGCTTCAGCCGGTGGTGGGAGTGTCGATGGGGCCGGCGCTCCTCGCCCTACTGGTCAGGACACAGTTCGACAACCTGTCGTGGCTGATGGTGGAGTTCGGACAGCGATCGCGACTGGAAACCTCGGCGTTATGTCGCGATCACCTGTCGATCAGACTGGGGTGGCTCAGGTCGACTCTTTTTTTCGGCGTTGGGAAACCTTGGCGGTCTGCTTACTGGAAACGGTCATCTCAGTGCCATGGTCTGGGGCGGTGTTGCATCTGAGACTCTCAATCTCAACGGTAATCATATTTTGCTGAAAGTTTATTTTGCTTAGTTTGTCGTCTTTTTCTATTGTGTAGTAAGCTCTATGCCTTTTATGATCAATGAGGAACAAAATCGTAGCAACAAGTTTTAGGAAGGGCAAGATAACATGTAATCTAATTAGGTTTTTTCTTCTTTGTACAGAGGATACTTTGTGGGCTGGAATTCCTGGGGATTATACTGATCTAGGTGCTCTAAAAGCACTGGCTGAGGTTATAAAACTTGTTGATGATGGACAATATGCACAGGTTACTGAACCCAGCAGATCCGACGGGCTCAAAAGCATTATTTTTCCGACGATGAGCTCTTTCTAATGAGCAGACGAGATGTAGCTCCCTCTGACGAGCTCGAGCTTCTCCAACGAACCAGCACGTGACGGACCAACGTACCCAGCAGATCCGACGGGCTAAGCGGCAGATTTCGTGATAGATGGACTTGGCTCCATTTTTCGTCCAACGAGCGTTTTCCGGTGAAGCTTGGTCAGGGAGGATGAAGAAGATGGTCTGAAAAGACTAAATTGCCTAGGGAAAATCGGAGCTATCGCCGGATTATTGACGGACTACGGCCGGAGGGGCTAAATCAACTAAAAACAGTTATTTCGAGGGACCAAATCGATGATTATGCGATTAAGGGACTACATTGATATTTCGTTAACAATTGAGAGACCAAATCGTTGATTTTCCCATATTACAATGTAGAACTCTATTAGAATGTAGCATATTAGTATCGGTTTTCAACCTATTGACCTCCTATTTTGGAGAGTCATATATCAAAATAGTAGTCTACGTGGACAACTAAATTAATCACGGGAATGAAATTTGAGAACATTGACCCGGGATCAAATCTCACAAGCTACAAGAATGAAGTTTGGGAATAATGACTAGGGATCGAGTCTCACCAACAGCATAAAGATTTAGCTTATGTGTTGATAGTGACGTAATAAGTAAAGGAGTGTGGGGGTTTCTTGGAATTGGAGATTCAATTGGAACAATGATATGAAAATAGTAGGGATAAACATATATCAATGCAATATTTCCTTTTTGGTCAGACTAGGAGGCACGTTTAAATCCG